GAGAGAGAGAGAGAAAGAGAGAAGAGGGGTGGTGGGTTTATGGGAAAATTAGTAAAGAAGATTTTGGCTTCTTGAGTTGAAGGTGAGCTGTGGGGCGGCTAGGTGGAGACTGTAGGAGGCGGTGGGCCGTCTGGAGATGCAGACTCGGGGGTCTTCCTCCCCCAGGTGCTAACCCCGTGCGTGAGGACGACATGAAAGCCCGTCTGTAGTGAGTTATCTCACTGCCCGCAAGGGCCGGGTAAGCGATGAATGATGCTGTCTGGGGACAAGAAAAGCAATAGCAAAAACCAGAGGTAGAGAAAACCCCAACTGGGCAAATGTGAATTTAAAAGCCTTCTGATCCTTGGCTTCAGCAGATGGGAAACAGGGACTAGGGGACTGAGAGTGCACCGAAGGGCGCGGGCTAGATTCAATTCTAGACAATTTCCTGAGTCAGAATTTGTGTACAGCATTATTGGATTTGATGATTTTCCCAGAAAAGTCAGACATTTTTATATTTATGTAAAATTTCCTGATACAAGAATACCGGCACAGTTTTAAAAAATTGTCCTATAATCTAAGCAAAATATATGTATGGCCAGAGGGTCTGTGGTTACATCTGCATCTTCTGAAGGAGAGGTTCTGTGAGTCCACGGAACAGACTCAGAACTGTACGCTGACGCAGTCTCTAACTTACAAACATCACAGACCGGGAAACTGCTTCGTGGGATCGTTTCACAGTCCCTGAGGATCCCAGCCAGTGAAATCATTCCTTGAGTTGCTCCACGTCTTTTTCTGTTCTTTCCCGTTGACCATGCTACAAAATTTCTCTCTTCTCGGCAGGAAATGATAGCCCAGCTGTGACGGCTGAACGTTTCTTGTTTATGTGTGTGTGTGTGTGTGTATGTGTGTGTGTGTGTCTGAGTGGAGGAATAGGAGGTGAAAGAGATTTCCTTCTAGAATCTCAGAATCTGTGTTAGAAAAGACCTTTGAGACTTTTTGTACCAACTGCTTGTTTTATAGGTAGGGAAATTGAGGCTTAAATAAGTTAATGGCATAACTGATATTAAAACACAGGTCTTTGGTTCTAGTCCAGCATATCATGCTCTCTAACACCATGTACGAGAAGAAACTCAAAATGGATTAAAGACCTAAATGTAAGACTGAAACCGTAAAACTCCCAGAAGAAAACAAATACTCTTTGACATAAATTGTAGCAATATTTTTTTTTGGATTTGTCTCCTAAAGCAAAGGAAATAAAAGCAAAAATTAACAAATGGAACCTAATTAAACTCAAAAGCTTTTGCACAGCAGAGGAAACCATTGACCAAACAAAAAGACAACCTACTGAATGGGAGAAAATACTTGCAAATGGTATGACTGATAAGGGGTTAATATCAAAAGTAAATAAACAGCTCATACAACATCAAAAAAAAAACCAAACAGTCCGATTTAAAAATGGGTAGAAAATCTGAACAGACATTTTTCCAAAGAAGACATGCAGATGACCAACAGACATGTGAAAAGTTGCTCAAGATCGCTAATCATCAGGGAAATACAAATCAAAGCCAAGATGAGATGTCGCCGCACACGGATCAGAATGGCTGTCATCAAAAAGAACACAAATATCAAACATTGGTGAGGATGTGGAGAAAAGGGAACCCCCGCATACACTATTGGGGAATATGAACTGGGGAAATCACTGTGGAAAACAGTATGGAGGTTTCTCAAAAAGTCTGTAGGACCATGGTTGTGAGGCTGTTGGTCTTCAAGGCCACTGCATATCCTGAGAAAGGATGATGGAATTAGGCCAAGTCAAAGTAACCATGAAGTTTGGTTCTTGCTGATAGTAATTTTCGTAAATAAACACTCTTTGGATTTTGCAAACATTTGGTTGACTTCCAAGGTTCTAAAAAAGTTGATATTTACAATTTTTGCCAGTTTCTTATTACTTTTAAGGAAGGAAAAAAATTTTTTTTTGTAGACCCTGACTCCACCTTTTCACCAATGTCCAGTCTTTTTACTTAAAATGCAAAATCGTAACACTCATTTATTATATAAACAACATAATACCAACCAGCAAACACTCACAGAAACTCTTCACCCACAGTCCTACCCACTTAACACAGCAATTGTTTTTTTTCAATTCCATTTCTTGCCCACTGACATGAATACTCTTGGAACTGTTACAATCATAGTCTAGATTTACTCTTATGTTCTCCTTTTGTTACTTTATACTTTATCATGGTTTCCTTTGTTGCTTTATAATTTATAGAATGAACATTTTAATGCTTAAAATTCTATCAGGTTTATGTGTTATATAATTTCATTGTCTTTCTTTTTTGACCATGTAGGAGTTTCCAACTTCAGGAGTATTATAAACAAGGCTACTGTGCTACAAGCATGCAGTTTATTGTTCAAAAAATATTTCCTTAGGATAAATTCTGTTTAGTAATGTTTGCTATCAAAGGCTACAAATATATTATGCCTCAAATTATTTCCAAAAGGATTACACAAATTTATATTTTCACTACTAATATATGTGTTTCTTTACACCCTTTACAATATTGGCTGTTACTGGTTTTTAATTTGTAAATATATAAAATATATTAAAATTATTAATGCAGTTGAACAACTTTTATGTCTGCTTTATTTTATGTGAACTTTCTATTCTTGTTTTAAAAGTACTATAGCTATCTATGAATAATCATTGATACTTTCTTTACTTCTGAAAAAGTAAAATTGTCATATAAAATCTTATCAATTAAAGACACTTTTAAATTGTTTTCCTTAATATTAAAATATCTCTTAATCTTTGTCACAATTTTTAATAGTACCAAATGACATCTTTTTTATCCCAGCAATGAAGCTACCCTTTTTAATGTTTCTTAGGAGCTAGTAGCTGTCAGATATTCCCAGAAAAATCTCATCTAACTCCAGCTACAATTTGAAGCATCAGTTGGCTTTTGCCAATGTACTGAATTATGTCACACATTGTTTCTTGAGGGAAATGTATTTTGAATGCAAATATCAAAAGTTAAGGTTCAAGCAAACTTTTAGTATGCATCACTTTAAAAGCTTAGAACTTCCTACTTCAGTGATTGTACAAATAAAACCGTTACCTGAACCTTGTGGCTTATTACAAATTCTCCTTATAATCTAACCTGATTTTTGCTTTTTCCCCAGTTTAAGGCCGATCCTCCTGCTGTGACTTTCAAACTAACTGGAGAGACAGATGGCATATTTCAGATACAACCAGATGGACTTCTGTATCACAACAGATCCCTGGACAGGGAAATAAGAGCTGTTCACAGACTCCAGGTGAACTGAGACCAGACAGAGGAAACCACCTCCAATCTCTCTGAGCGCCCTTTGTCCTGGAAGTATCGCTGGTGCCTCCATCCCTTGCACAGAATTGCGTTTCAGCTCTCCTGACATTAACGGCATGCTTCACACACCTCATGTGTCTTTTTTTTTGTTGTTGTTAACCAACTAGAGAGTTGGCTCTTTTCGGCTTTTTGACCAGAGTAACCCAGTTTATACTGCCAAGGCTCCCAGATAGCACCACTCATCCAAGTATGGCCGCACTCAGGCACCTGGATCAAAACCAAGCCAGCACTTCTCTGATATTTCGCTGGTATCTGCCTGTGGCTATTGGATGGGCTCTGGACCCACCAAGAAGGCAGCACCCGTGCTGGACGGAGCTCCTGTGGGCCTTGCACGAAGCAGAAGTAACCAATGACTAAAGTCAGAGGCTGACTAAAGACACCCTTCTCCCTCTCTTTCCACTTAGGTTTCATGGTTTGCATCTGAATACCCAGGAATGGTAAAGAGCAAATTGTAGGGGAAAAACCAAGCCGAAAGCTTTCTGTTGGTAACTTTTATGATCGGCTCCGCAGATGGACCACTAAAATGCTTCTGTAACAGGACATGGCATTTCCATACCCTCAAGGGCTAAAGTGTTCTTATTTCACTGCCTCCAACTATTTACAAAAAAGCATGTCCAGTGTCCAGCATACCCCACTGTTGGAAAAACACAGTCATGATTAGCCTGGTTTGACTGATAGGGTCTATTTCAGCAGCTCCCAATTTGGGCTTTTACGGGTGTCTTTCTCCCCTAGGGTCACCAGGTTATGGGTTATTTGGGCTCTCATTTCCTTCGAGTGACTTTTGGGTGTGTCATATGAAGTCCAGACTCACCACAGTGGTCTCCTTCTCCTTTTAACCTCAGGTCTCAGCCCTGGATGCTCAGGGCAATACAGTGGAGGGCCCGGTCCCCATCACCATTGAGGTGAAGGACATCAATGACAATCGACCTGTGTTTGTCCAGCCCGACTATGAAGGCTCCGTGAGGCAGAATTCCCGCCCAGGTAATTGGCAGGAGCCTGGAGCTGTGTGTGGAAGGATGGAAGGGGAGCAGGCAGCGGGCGGACAGCTGTAGTTATCATTCCCCCAGTTGAGAACCACTGTTTTAGGGGGAGAATTTAGATGACCTTAGAGCTCTGGAACACTCTGGAAAGGTAAGCTGCCTCTCCCACATCCCCTCCCAGGCCATCCTCATGGTCATTGCCGGCTCCCAGGTCTTAGTCTTCTCTTACTCCCTACTCCTAGCTCTGGAGTAGCTAGGAGTATCGCTGTTCTTTTACCTTTCTTCTCCACAAAAGCCCCTCGTCGAGGCATAGGTACGTGCCACAGGCTTGACTGAAGATTTGGAGGAATGAAGGCGCATCATAACAGTGCACGAAATAAACATGAATGTTGGACTTTGAGTTCTCAGAAAGACTCTTGGCCACTGCCATCAACTCACTGTCAAGTTTCCCTCTGTGTTACTTAATCTTCTCTGTCTCTCACTCTTCAATGCCCGTGTCCAAAAACTCAGGAAAAACTTTCCTTCCACTTTATTTTGTGACGCAGTTTCCCGCGTCTCTTTGTCTCTGAGGTTGCATACCAAATGCTCACTACTGAACTCTGCTAAGTAATACTCTTCCAATAGGATCTTCTAGATCAGTGGTTCTCCAACTTTTTGGTCTCATGGCTCCTGAATTCTCTTAAAAACTATTGCAGACACCAAAGAACTTTTGGATCTGTGGGTTGTATCCAGTGGTGTGCTGGTAAATTTTAATAGCTATCTCTGTGGAGGGAACCCCTGATTTGTAGCATTTGTCAATTTCTATGGTATAAATACTCCCATTGTAATCTATTTTAAGCTAGTAATAGTATAAATAATTGGCTCAGAAAATTTCTGGAAATTCAACTGGCTCTCATGAGTTGGCTCACTGGTTTTATGTTGATATATATATTGATAGATAGATATATATATAGATATATATATATATATTGATATATATATAGATAGATAGATATATCTATCTATCAATATTTACCATATTTGAAATTAAAATTGAGGAATTAAAAAATATTTATTTAGTAATTTATTTAAAATAATAAGCATATTTTAATAAAAATAACTATATTTTCAAAGATGAACTATTAAGAACGGTATTGTTTTAATCTTTGCAAATTTCTTTTATGTTTGGATTAATTGAGAACAATTGGATTCTCACATCTGTTTCTGCAGTTGGTCTGTTGCCATATGCTGATTTGGTTGAAGCATTTAAAGAAAAACCCTCCTCACAGATTTGTAATGGAAAAGTGAGGAGTTTTGTAATAGTGTTTTCAGATAACTGTGGATATTCTTTGATACTAGATCAGAATTCAACAAGTAGTGGTTTCTTAAAGGCTGGTTGCAATGTGAAATCTGAAACCACATCAGTGCCTTTTTAGAGGGTACTCCTTTATGCTAAAATCCATCGAATTATCTTGTATTTTGAATGGATCTTTTACACATGGATGATTTTGGCTCCATTGACCCGACAAACAGTCTCAAAGACCCCTAGAGGTGTCTGGACCATACTTTAAGAAACCCCATCCTAGGGGAAAGGAGCAGAATAAAGATTTGTTCCTTTACTGATGTGACTTGCGGCACCTTTCTGAATTCTGTTTCTCCTCCATAGAAGGCAAAATGTGGCTATGGTTGGTTTGGGTTTCAATTAATTAATATCTTTTTTTTTCCTGGGTACATTTTGCTAAACAGGAAAGCCCTTTATGTATGTCAATGCTACAGACTTGGATGACCCAGCCACACCCAATGGCCAGCTTGTTTATGAAATCATCATGCAGCTACCCAAGGTCAACGATGTCATGTACTTTCAGATCAACAACAAAACGGGGGCGATTTCCCTTACTCTAGAAGGTAAGTGAAGTGCTGAACGCCCTCCCTGGGCTCTCTGAGTCAGAATAAGGGACCAAGATCTGTTATCACCTTTAGAGACATTTCCTTTTCTCTTCTCTCCTACTTCCCATAGGATCCCGGGAATTAGATCCCGTTAAGAATCCTTCCTACAAGCTAGTGGTCTCAGTGAAAGACATGGGAGGCCAGAATGACCATTCCTTCAGTGACAGCACATCTGTGAATATTTTGGTGAAGGAGAATATCTGGAAAGCACCAGAGCCTGTGGAGATTGCAGAAAACTCGACCAGCCCTCTCCCCGTCAGAATCACTCAGGTAGTGCCCAAGGGACGCCTGCAGCCGCCCAACCAGCGTGCGCTTCGTAGGGCTTGCCCTCGTGGCCTCACTGCCACGCTTGCATAGCGTAATGATAGAGCAAACTGAACAAAGTCTGCTCCTAGTCTCTGGAGTCTGCCGTCATGGTAAAATTCTGGACCTTACCAGCTTGGATTCGGATATATACATAGTTTTGAAAGAGAACGTCACTTACTTCCACCTTCTGAGTAGATAACATTGTTACTTGTTGTTCCCTGTCCATAGTGTGGGATATGGCTGCCTTAGACTGGGTTGGATATGGCACATGTACATGATTCAAGTTTCGGGCTGCAAATATTTTTGAAAACCTGTTTCATACTCTTGTGGGAAAAATCTCTGTCAGAAAAACTCATTCATCAGAGGCTGAGGAACAGAGATAGGACTGGCCACGGGTAAGAGTTGAGTAGACAGCCTTTACCTGGGGAAGCCATCCCCTCCCATCTCCATCTCCTATGGGTACCTCTCCCCTCCGTTCAAGCCCTCCCTGTTCCCACCTCTACGGCTGGTGTCTCACCCTGGGCCCCCTCCTCCTTCCTTAGCTCCTGGAAATCCACCCTGGGGTCCATCCAGATCTGGTCTTTCCTGGAAGATCCAGAGGTTTCTTGACACAGAAACTGTGAGATAGTGAGAGAGCACTGGGTTTGGAAGCAGATGAACAAAACCGCATTCTTGCTCCATTACTTAAAGGACTGATCATAAACAAGCCATTGAACTGTTATGAGCCCCAACTTCTCAGTAAAATGAGGATAATAACAGCTCTTCAAGTTGTTGTGGAAATTAACTGGGAGGTGGTGTCTGTGGAAGTGGATGGAAGACGTTAATCTAATGAGGGCGTCCCGGTCTGTAGTTCCCCTAAGTTGCTTTTTTTTAATGACACTATTATTGTTCAGGGGTCCTGAATGGCCCAGCCCACTGTATCTATTGTCTAACCTGAAAGGACTTTTATTTATTGACTGCTGAATTAATGAACTTCACCTTCAAGGAAAAAAAGAATGAAATCAAGAAGTATTCTGCTTTACCAGCGAAGAAAATATCTCAGGACTCATTGCCACGAGAATTTCTGATTGAGTTCCTTTGCTAAAGTCTTTCTGTTATTATTTAAGTTACCTTCATAAGGATTTGTAAATGCTAAAAGGAACACATATACTTGTTTGCCCTTGGGGCTGTGAGAGAAAAGAAATTCTCAGGTGCCACCCCCAATCCCCAGGCCTGGGGGAAGTGCTTGTGTCTCGAAGGCTGGGGGTGTCTTGAAAACTGAAGAAGAAGAGTGGAGGGGGACAGCTCAAGAGAGAAGAACTTTTAGGGCACAAGGGGAGACCGCTTACAACCAAGAACATGGTCTTTGGCTCAGACAGAGGGTGGTGCTTAAATAACCAGCACAGGGCAACAGGGGTCCACGGATGCCCTTCTCAAGCTGGTTTGACAGAATAGTTTGGTGTGGAAATTTCAAGTAGCTGTGGACCTTGGGCCAGTCACTTGAACCTTCTGTGCCCCGGTTTCCCCATTTATGAAATGAGGATGACACCAGTCTCACCTCACAGGGCTGTGTGAGGATTTATTGCAATAACACATAAAAGTGTTTAGAATTGTGTCTGGCGTGGGGTAAACCCTCAACAAATGTTATCAGCGGTAGAATCATAGAGGCTGGGCTGTGTCTGTAGCAAGTAGACTGGCCTGAATTTATTGACTTTTTTTTTGCCAAATTGTTTACGAAACAACTCTAGGAGTTGGCAATTATTCTTATGCGTGAAATCTTAAAGACTAAATATTTAGGGGAGGAATGTTCTTTATTTATGGCTCATTTATCTTAAATAATAGCATGCTGAGGTTGGAAATGTCTCTTACCTTCACTGGTGAGTTTGGGGAGCTTGCAACATCACAGCTTAGTCCTCAGATAACAGCTACAAAGTACATTCTGTTTCTTACATTGGTGTTTCCTGGATACAAAGCCTTCACAGCCAGACTTCCAAAAGAACACCCCACAAACTCTTTAGGGAGTTCACAAGAAATTGCTTTAGTGAAGAAAAATACCCCGATGTGCTTTTTTGGAACAATACAACCTAGTAAAAAGGAAAAAAAGGGGGGCTTATTTTAGGTTAAAAATGAAAACTATAACTCAGTGGTTATAAGAAACCACAGATTAAACATGGATGGGCCTAGAGATTATCCTATTAAGTGAAGTAAGTCAGACACAGAAAGACAAATATCGTATGATCATGCTTATACGTGGAATCTGAAAAAAGAGATATAAATTTATTTACAAACCAGAAATAGATTCACAGACGTAGAAAACAAACTGCGGTTACCAGAGGGGAAGAGAGAGCAAGGGTAGATTAGGAGTTTGGGATTAACACATACTAACTACTATATATAAAATAGATAAAAAACAAGGACCTACTGACTAGCACAGGGAACTACATTCAATTTCTTATAATGAGGCATAATGGAAAAGACACTATATATATATACACACACACATATATACACTTGTGTATATGTTACTGAATCACTTTGCTGTACACCTGAAACTAACATTCTAAATTGATTACACTTCAATGAGAAATAAGAATTAAAAAGAATTGTTATTTACCCTTTAAAAAAAAAAGAAACCACAGATGTACAAACAAGGTGTCAGAAATTTCAAATCGAGAACCCAAAACTGTTTGCTTCGTTTCTCCTTCTCTCAGTCCCGATGTGTCTTCCCTCACAATCCCCTCTGGGCCCTGCAGGTGCAGTGGAACGAGCCAGGTGCACACTATTCCTTAGAGGTAAAGGAGAAGCCACCAAGATTCCCGTTTTCAATCGACCAGGAAGGATATATCTACGTGACGCAGCCCTTGGACCGAGAAGAAACAGATGCAGTGAGTAAAACTGGGAGGAATTCTGCATGAGATAAGACAAGATCCTGTGCCCTAGACAGCTGAGAGCAGAAACAATTTTACTTAAAAAAAAAGAAAGAAAGAAAGAAAGAAAAGCCACTACCACCAACAAAACACCCTTAACTGTATCTGAACCTCAGTGCACCATTGCTCTCAAAGACATGATACTATCTCCACAAATCTGATCCATTGTATGTTTTCTAGTTTCTCTGCTCGAAGGAAATTAAAAATAAGGGGATAAATGAAATAGCATTGAAATAGTTGTTTATTCTGCCTTTTAAAGGGGCTGATGGAGTTATGTTTTGACTCTGATCTTGTTGCAGTATGTTTTTTATGCGGTTGCGAAGGACGAGTATGGAAAACCACTTGCGTTCCCACTGCGAATCAGTGTGAAGGTTAAAGACGTTAACGATAACCCACCTGTATGTCCATCTGCACTGACGGTGTTTGAGGTCCAGGAGAATGAACAGATAGGTAAGAAGCAGTGTAACTGTCCTCTCTGTGTTAGCTCTGTGATCCCTTTCTCCTCTCTGTCGAGTAAAAGGCAGACAGGGTTAAACCTGGTCGGGGACCGGCTGTCCATGTGTAGCACAGCATCGGGGCTGAATTCACTCTGAGGCTCACACAGGCACAGTGTTTAGGCTCAGACCATTTCTGGGTAATGTTCTTAAACCGGAGCTTTGGTAACTACCACCACTACTAGTCCTGCCACTGTTCCTAGCACCTCCGTTAGTTCCCACTGCTAGTGCGCCTGCTGCCCTTACCGGCACCACAGCACCATAACCACGTGCACCAGTGTCCTGCATCCACGTGCAAATTTATCTCATTTGCCAGGCTTTCCTGTAGAGTCTCATTTGCCCTCTAACAAACTCAGTGACAGACAAAATCTCACCAAATTTGCTAAAGAATTTAAACCTTCACACCCAACATCAGATACCCTGCAGTCGACCCTGGATTGTCCCTCTCTAGGAAGCTGACAATAGTGCACGAGGCTGGCAGGTGCAGTTCAAGTCCTGCCTGCTTTTGTCCTTTTGTTCTTGACCTGCTTTGTTTCCTTTGCCGGTGCCAGGATAGCTTAGCTTTTTACAGGGACAAGCACTCTCAGAACATTGTGATTTCTGGGTGTTTTATGACCTCCCAGGATTTTGGGGCGCCTCTTGTCTGTTACCCCCTGGGTGTTGAGTCTGTTGGCTGAGCAGGCTGACGTGGCTGGAAATGTTTTGTCTGTTTTATGTGAGTGTCAGGGCCTCCTAAGGTCAGCAGGCGCCCACGACTACCATTCCTGGGGCCGGGCTGCTCTCGTGGGCGGGTCCTCACCGCCTCATGGACATTCTCATCGTTTTCTCTTGGTCTCCATGCCCTGCTTGGCGCACACTTTTGACACAGTGGGTGCCGTGCTGGTGGCTTGGTGGGTCCTGCTCACTTGGCCTCCTGGCTCCACGCTCTTTTTTTTTCTTCTTACTGTCAGGAGTGTCATGTGGAGGCTACCTACTGTCAGCGTGTCCTGCTTAGTTCCTCTCTTTTTCATTTATTCCATTTCTTGCTGCAACAGGAACAGCTGAATGACGGGTTTGAAGGATTTTAGTTAATTATAAGGAAGAATTTTCCAACAGTGACAGCAGCGTGACAATGGAATTTGTGACAATAGCCAAGAAACACTTATAGCTTCATGCTTTGTGGAAATCTAGAGGGGTCTGTGGTGCTGAGCGAAGGCAGAACTCTGAAGACCTTTGTAGACGCGACCTCTAGTCTCTGCATAGGGACTAACATTTAGAGTTACCTGTGGCTGCATGACAAATTGCCCCCAAAGTTATTAGCTTAAAACAACAAACATTTGTCATCTCGCAGTTTCTGTGAGTCAGGAGACTAGGTGGTGCTTTGGACTCAGAGGGAGAGCTCAGTGAGAGAGAAGAAAAAGGGCAGGCTCGAAAAACGGCAAGTGAGATGGAAGCCAGCCTTTTCATAGCCTAATCTTGGAAGTGACGTCCCCTCACTTTTGCCACATTCTGTTCATGGGAAGTGAGTCGCTAGGCCCAGCTCGCACTCAGAACGAGGCGGTTACCCCAGGGCACCCCCACTGGGAGTCAGGGTGCTGGAAGCCGCGGTAGAGGCTGCCTGCCTCATCTGGGAAGAGCACAGTACTGGATTCCTGAGACAGGTGAGGAAGTCATTGTTGGTCGAATAAATCGTTCAGGAGCTCGGCAAGCTCTTTGCCTCTCTAAAAGTGAGAATTTATCTTGTAACAATATTTCACAAAGTCTGACTGTGGACCCAATAGACCAGGAATTCTTATAAATCAACACAGACTGAATCTATTCTGTATGTGTAGCCTAAAAGGGGTACAAAAATACCTCTGCCTTTGGGGGGCTTACTGTCCAGCACAGTAAAATTCTGAACCATTACTTAGTATGTGTATAGTCTCCTGGTTGGTGTCTTATATTAGCCAGAGTCTCATGGGACCCATACTCCCAAGTGTCAGCAACACCGACATTGACTCTGAAATCCCGCTGGCTGTCAAGACCACCTCCGTGTCCGCACAGGAAGTCAGCCTCTCGTAAAAGCCCCGCCGCCTGAGAGTATTTCTGAGTGCCCGGGGGATGCCGTGTCCACCTCGGAGCCCGTCTGGGCTGCCACTTGGTCCTGGCCCTCGCCACTGAGAGACACGGCCCTCCCTTCACGAAGCTCCCTGCTCCCCCCGGGGAGGGGGCAGCCCTCCTGGAATTTCCCTGTCATTGATGTCAGCAGCCTTCCTGGTGCCTGTGACAGCTGGAGCTTTCCTCTGGAGCCAGAGAACAGGGTCCCCTGTGTTCTGCCCACTTGTGGAGGGGAAAGCTTCAAAGCAGGGCTGCTCAGACACCAAACAGTCACAGAATTTAGTAGGACACTTCCATTCCAGCGCACAGAAGCTCTTCTTACAGGGGTAGATGCATGTCCCAAAGCTGACTTTTTTGGGATGGATTCAGAAATAGCACCTGCTCCTACGCTAGATACGTGTTCCCTTCTGCTCCTCCTCCCCCGCCCCGGAGGTGCGTCTGCACGTGCCTGCTCCGTTACAGACTTAACCTGGGGACTTCCGTTCCTCCTCCTCCGCAAAACCCTGCAAACTTCCGTGTAAAGCAGTGGATGCAAAGTAATGTGAGGGAAAGGGTGGAACTGAGCCCCACGAGTGGGGGGTGTACGTATTTACGTTTTAGCCCCCACCTGGGAGTCTTGCTTCGTGTAGAGCAGCCCACGACCCCCATTTCACAGAGCACGATGATCCGGCCCCTTTCCGGCCTCACTCACCCAGAGCCGGGTGGAGCCCGGAGCCACGGCCAGACTTCTGGAACGGCCTGGACCGAGACGCTCACCGAAATAAAGCTTAGGGCCATAAAGTGCAGCAAGGCGGAGAGGCTGCCTGAATGCTCGCTGCCCCGAGCTGTCGTTATCTTTGGGGTGGAGCCCGTCTCTGCGGTCGTTCCACAGATCTGCTTAGAAGTAACCACACGAGCGTGTCTGTGTTTAGTTACGGCGTTGGCCTTGTGCATTCGTGTCTGAGGGCGGCTGCAACAAATTACCACACACTCAGTGGCTTCAAACGATAGAAGTTTATTCATTCCCAGTTCTGGAAGCTAGAAGTCTGACATCAAGGAACCAGCTAGGGGAGAACGCTTTTTTGCCTCTTCTGGCTTCTGGTGGCTCCTCGGTTGCTACTGGCAGCATCACTCCATTCTCTGTCCCCTCCTTCATGTCACCTCCTCCTCCCTGGGTGTCTCTGTGTCTCCTCTTCTTATTATTAAGAACACCAATCACTAGGCTTAGGACCCACACAACTCCAGGACGGTTTCATCTCAGGATCCTGAATTGTGTCCTCTCCAAATTCATATGGTGAAGGCCTAACCCCCAGCACCTCAAAGGGTGACAATGTTTTAGAGACGGGGTGTTTGAGGGGGTTACGTGATTAAGTTACATGATGTTATTAGTGTGGTCTTAATCCAATATGACTGGTGTCCTCCTAAGAGGAGAAAATCTGGACCCAGACAAGCACAGGGAAGACCGAGTGAAGATGCACGGAGTACACAGCCATCTACAGGCCAAGGAGAGCCGTCTCAGAGGACGTCAGCCCTGCTGACACCGCGACCTCCGACCTCCAGTCTCCTCTCTGGTGCCAAAGCCAGCCCGTCCATGGTACTGGGTCGTGGCGGCCTTAGCAGACAGATACGCTGCTCAGCACGCTGCACTGTGGGGAGGGCTAGAAAAACCAACCTCAGGCTAAGAACTGCAGCCTGCTACTCAGTTACTTACAATGCTTTCTAGGGACCTGCTTCCCCAGAGAAAGCATTTTTTAACAGATTGAAAAAGAACCTGTAATGAATGGGTTTCCTTCTTTCCTTGTCTCCAGGGAGCAGCATTGGGACGTTAATTGCTCATGACATGGATGAAGAAAACACTGTCAACAGCGTCTTAGAGTACAGACTTGTGGACCAAACCCCCACAGTTCCCAGAGACGGGCTCTTTCTGGTCGAAGACTACTTGGGAACAGTCAAGTTAGCTGAGCAGTCCTTGAGGAAGCGAGACGCGCCGCAGTACAACTTGACAGTCGAGGTGTCTGACAAAGGTCGGTGTCACCTTCACCAGGTCAGGAGTGAAAACCCTTGTTTTTCTTCTAGTTGTGATTTGTTTGCCTGCTCTGAACCTGGGCGCATCACAGAAGGATGCCATTTAAGAGTTCTTGCTTCCTGTGTAGGACACACCCGCGGCACAGAGCCAGCTGGTCCGACATGGCGATGGCCAGAGTCACTGCTCAGGCAACATCCTTGTGTTGGTCTCCTGAGAAGCAGATACCAAGAGGGGATTTAATATATAAGATTTTATTAGGGGAATTGCCTATGAGAAAAAATGGGAAGGAATACAGAGAAGGCTGGGAAAGCCTCAATACAAGCCTGACCCTGAGTGAAGGAGGTGGTGGGAAGACCCCAGACCACTAAGCAGTCAAAGGGAAGCTCGGTGAGGTCACTGGGGAGTCTAAAACTGGCCATCGAAGGAGTCTGTGATCTCAGAAGCAGGCCTGCCTTCGCCTGCCTGCCTTGCTCAGTCACTGGCTGGGGGCAGCCTGTGGGAAGCAAGGTCTTGGCACAAATGTGGTGATGCATATTTGAGTTTCAGAGCACAGCAGCACATCATCAGTTAAGACCCCTGTTGCTGGGCGTCGGCAAGGCACGTTGTCATGGCCCCCAGGATCACAAGCAAGGAAATTAGTTGTATTTCCCAAGCCTATGCTTCAGACTCAGAGGATTCTCCTGTATGAAAGGGCAGGAAAAAAAAAGCGTCTTCGGGGAAGCATTGTCTTCTCCTGTTAGCTTCTAGTGGACCATCGGATGGTCTCAGGAGACATTCTTCCTTACTCCTTATACAATTGCAAAGCAAGTGGTTCTTAATCTTGGTAAAGTCATGAGACCCTTTGAGAATCTGATGAAAACTATGAATTCCTCAACAAATGCACATGTTCTCAGACCAACTGCACAGACACAGACATATATGAACTTGGGGACAGGCCTATTTTAGGGTCATAAATACTCCGAGGTTAAGAACCTTTCTTTGAGTTAACTGGCACTGACTCTTAGATTACCAAACACTTCAGTAATTGTTATGCTAGGAGACAGAGATTATATAGGTGTGGCGAAGAGCCTCATTTCATATAGTGCTTCACATTTTTTTTTCTTTATACAAATGTTGAGATGCTGAAGAGAACTGGGATTTAGCAGGCCCCCAGAGCAGAATGTTTGAGAAGTGGTAATTTGGCAAACATTGAGGGCCTCACAATGGCTAGCATTGTAAGAGGTCCGACAGACATGTGCATAATAAATCATCCCTGCCCACGATGAGCTGACAGGTTCGCACCATTAACCATCCATTCTTTCAGTGGTTATTGAGCAGTGACCTTGTCGGAGGCACCATTCAGGGTACTGGGGATACACAGATAAGACCCAATGTCTGTCTGCAAAAGATGCTCATGGTGGAGGAGATGGACATAAGTAAATTACTGGAAATGTGTCCGAGGTAGCCCACGAAGGCAGTGAGTGGTCAGGGGGGAGGGAAACAGAGCAGATCAGGCTTTCAGGAAGAGTGGTCATTGTTCTGAGTCCTGAAGGATGAATATGACAGATTACAAAACAGTATAGAGGCATCTAGGGGAGGAGAAATCCCATGTACAAATGCATGGGCACCTGAAGCGGTCTGAGGCTATCAGGGGCACAAAGTGGAAGTAAGATCACAAATTGTCTGTGTACTTGAGTGTGTCTATAGAACATAGGGGCCCCAGATTATAAAATATATTTATATATAAATAGATATGTGTGTATGTGTGTCGAGGAGATTAAACATGCAGTTGTGTACTGCAGAAAATTAGACGCTAGGCTGCAATTAACATAGTTTTACAGAAAATCAGGGAAGGTCTGTTAGTCAGGGGGCTCACTGCTGGCCCAAATGAGATGTGTGCAGAGCAGGGAGCCAGTGAGCTCAAGCCTGGGACCTCCTGAAGTTCTCCAGCCATTCCCGCTGTCTACAGGTGTCCTGGGGACTGGATGCAGCTTTAATTAACATCCACCTATGTGTATGTGTATATATATATATTTTATTGAAGTATAGTCAGTTACAATGTGTCAGTTTCTGTTGTACAGCATAATGTCTGAGTCATCATTTATTTATAATACTATTATTAGATTCTAAGTTTAAAAGGAGGGCGGGTATAGCTCAGTGGTAGAATGTGTGCTTAGCATGCATGAGATCCTGGGTTCAATCCCCAGTATCTCCATTAAAAATAAATAAATAAATAAACCTAATTAACCCCCCCAAAATTGAAAAATAAATAAATTAATTAAAAAAAAGAGTTTGAAGAAGGGGTTATTTGTGAAGGCTGTGGGTAGGATTATGGGGAACCAGCAGGAGGTGTGCCATACGATGGACAGTGGACCGCCTTTCTCACTCCAAGGTGAGGAGGGGCGAGGGGAAGGGCCAGACCTGTGCCTGGGCCTGTGGAAGAGGCTGCTGGCAGTGGGAGTGCTGCACCCTGACCCCGTTCCTCCTGCTCTGCCTTAGCTCTCCTGCCAGTGTTCCCACTGGAAGAACCCAACTGTTCCCCAGGGGCCAGGATGCCCACCTATGCAGTTCCCAAGGTCAGCCTCCCAGGCACAGAGCAGGATGAAGGGTGGAGAGTGGATGGAGACGGCAAAGGAGCACATGGATTTGAATTCTGGGTCGACCGCTAGTTAGTTGTATGACCTTGAGCAGGTTCTCTACTTCTCTGTCCCTTGGCTTCCTCACTTGTGAACTAAATGAGAATGATAATAGCACCTACATTGTGGAGCTAGAATGAGGATGAAATGAGTCATGCAAGCCGAGCACGGAGGGCTAACTGTTATGATGAGAACCCTGGTTCGGTTGCTACCTACATTCTGTAGATAAACTGACTACCGCACAGAGACCTTGAGTGACACACCCAAGCTCTCACACATCTGATGAGTATCAGAGACAGAATTCAGACTCTGAGGCTCCAGAGCCCAGAGCCTCAGCCATTGTACAGTACAGTACTTCATGGTTAGAGCAATGGCGACCCCAACAAGAAACCATCATGTTGTTTCTAGTTCTGGATATTTTGCTGGGCACCCCATCACCACCTGTACCCATGCTCATCTTGGACCCAGGCTGAACCTGTTGTTTCTGACAGGGTCTCTGAAATGTCAGACCCACCCCTCAAAGCCTGTGCTACTTCCCCAGAGTTCAGAGAGCTACCCCTGCCTCTGTAGCCTGGGCAGCCAGGCCTTTTGAAGGGGGCTAGTTGAGCCCTTCCATGCTCATGTGGGTCTTCCCATCGTGGGGGCAGAGGTGATACAGGACAGTCAGTGCTGGAAGTGCTCAGAGAAGGAAAGCCAGCCAGTGGGATGCTCAGGGAAGACTCTCCAGCAGGATGGTTTTGCACTGGGCTTTGAAGGCTGCGTGAGTTTCACTAGTCAGAAAAGAGAGGCTGCTTCACAGGTAAGACGCTGTCTTGTTCAGGAAAAAGCCTTATCAAGGAGGAGGGTGCAGAGGGAGTGGGAACCCAGGGGAGCCTCTCACTGGCTTTCTTCAGCCTCCCCTTGGTGGCCAGCTCGTGGGCACAGGTGGGGAGCAGAGAAGCCCCTCGCCACATAAATTGCACATCAGTAGTCAAATTGTGGCTGTGGTGGTCACTTCGCTTGCCAGTTTTTTTCTCCTTGCAAATTTCTGATTTCAATGCGTGATTTTCAGTGAAAGGTTTTGTAACATGACTTTGATTTTCAGATTTCAAGACCTTCTGCCATGTGCAAGTCAACATTATTGATATCAACGATCAGATCCCCATCTTTGAAAAATCAGATGTGAGTAGTTGTTACCTTGTTTTTCTTAATGTTGTTCATATTACCTGACCCCTACCTCTGGAATAAAGACAAACAGTAGTTAGGGGAAATGCCAGATTTAACATCTTAGTCAATGCACTGGTGACAAACTCAGGCGTCATCTTCAGTGGAAATCTTCAGGGAACAATAATGTTCACTGTTAACGATATCTGGGAGCGTCTGTTTATAAACTTCTGCCCACGGCTCATTTATTGCCAGGACTGCGTAAAAGCTACAACCACAATCTTTGTCAAATTGAGAGGAGTTGAGCGGCTGCTTGCAGCTTGTCATTCTATATTTTGTGTGTAGGACAATAAATGGATGACTGTGAGATTTCAAAGAAGCATTTTTAGTCAAAATTGAAAATTTGGAATACTGGCAGTTTAAACTCATTTTGCAATAATTGGATAAGAAAAAAGGGGAAGAAAAATTAATCTTTGGCTTATGCCAAAAAAAAAGTGCTCAAGACATCAGCAGGAATTAGAAGAACTGGGCAAAAAGAACAGGAAAAAGAAGATCAGTTGAGTACATCAAGTAGATTCAAGTTTACTTACTGTTAATGTGGGCTTGAAACTTGGCAGTGGTTTTTATCATTGCTTCCCCTGAAATGGATGTCTCTATTTATTCTGGAGAAGAGAGAGGCTCTTGTGACTAGGTTGTTACGTTTGAAGTCAGTTATGAAGCAGCCCAGAGCCTTGGGATGATGCTCATAAATCAAAAGAGGGATAAGAGTGACAAAGAAAGAGAACTGATTTATGGGAGGGCCTGGGGAGGTAAAAGGTGTGGCTGGATGTAACTTGTGTAAGAGGCACTGAGGCTAAGCAAACACGAGAGCAAGAGCCTGTTGCTTCTCTGCTTCCGTTCTCATGGGCATTTGATCCGTTCCGCGTGTCGTGTTTCCTTGCGTTGCATCTAGACAGTGTTATTAGACTGAGCATCAGAATCCGGCTTTGGGAGTCTTCGAGCTTAGAAATGCAAACTGGGCTCTGGGAAGAGTGAGTCCACGTCTTCCATTGCCGTGGTCCTCCCTCAGACCCTGCCTGTTACCATCTTCATGATCGAGATGCCAAGAGACAGGACCTGGGGGGTTCTCAGAGGGGGAGTGGGAGGTGGTCTAGGCTGGCGGTTAAGAGCACTGGCTGTGGAGCTGAACAAGCATGGATTGGAATCCTAGCTCTGTGACTCAGCAGCTGTGTGGTCTTGGGGGGGCTTACCTCGCCAATTCTTTGTCCTTCTGTCAAGTGGAGATGATAATGTCGCTACTCAGCAGGGGATTTTGTTTTGCTGCTTATGTTTTTGGATGAGCACTTATTATGTGCTGGGTGTTCAAGGGCTTTATATGCATTACCTCTGTAAATCCCCACCGCAAACATGAAATAGGTTCTGTTATTATTTTATCATCATCGTCATCATCATGAGCATCATCATCATCATCTCCAATGGACAGATGGTGAACCAGACACTTAAAGAAATTAGATCACTTACCTCAAGTCACCCCGCTAGTAAGTGGCAAGCCTAGGATTCCTACCTAGGCCATTTGACTCCAAAGTTCAGATTCTTAACCATTGTTTCTTGGTGGTTTAAGAATTAATCAAAACAATGTGTGTAAAGTGTCTGCCACACTGCAGACACTCAGTACAGAGTAGCTGTTGATTTAGCTCATTACTGTCATAATGATAAATATAGTTATTAAACGTATTGGAGTGGGAGGGAGAATCTGTTTTAGAATCCTGCTGGTAGCTCTCTGAGACCTTGTGTTTCTTGGTACAATGGACATCAGTCTGCAAGTAGGACTGATGTCAAAATCAGCTGCAACCTACTCATCAGGAGGGAAGACGTGCTCGGTAAGTACCGATGCAAACTTGGACTTGGTCCATTCTGAAACCAATGAGACGAGTTTGCCCTGTGACAGTTGTACTTGGTGACAATGGACACACTCATCGTTTCCTTCCCTGGCTTCTGTCCTAGTATGGAAACCTAACGCTGGCTGAAGACACAGCAGTTGGATCCACCATCTTAACCATCCAGGCCACCGATGCGGATGAACCGCACACTGGGAGCTCTAAAATCCTGTATCGAGTTACGCAGGGAGACAGTGAAGGACGCTTGGAGATTGACACAGATCCCCAGACCAATGCTGGATATGTGAAGGTTAAAAAGGTAAATGGCCCATTTATGGAATTTGTCTTTTCTGCAGATTAATCTATGGTGGACCATTCAAGGACCTGTAAGTGGAGGTGACGTGTTAGCAGTGACCTGTCAGGCATGTGATGGACTCCTGGAGCATTCTCAGTCACTCCTGTCCTTCCGAAAGACAGAAGGCAGGATTCTCATTCTGGGTCTGTCACTGACTGACCAAGTGACCTTTTGCAGAGCGTGGTAGGATTGCCATATGAAATATACAAAATATAAGATGAATAATTTCTTAATATAAGTATGTCCCATGCAATACTTGGGACATGCTAATACTAAAACCTTGCTTGTTGTTTATCTGAAACTCTATACAATCAGGTGTTCTGCATTTTTATTTGCTAAATCTGGGGTGAGGTGGTGCTCAGGGCTTTACTTCTCCCTTTGCAGATGTGGGGTGTTCGACTGGATGAGCCCTGTAAGTCCTTTAGGCTTTAGGCACTTTATTCTTTTTCTTTTTTTTTAATTGAAATACAGTCCGTTTACAACGTTGTGTTAGTGTCTGGTGTACAGCATGGTGATTCAGTTATACACATATACATGGATACATATGCCTTTTCATATTCTTTTTCATTACAGGCTATTACAAGGTATTGAATATAATTCCCTGTGCTCTACAGTGGGACCTTATTAATTGTCTATTTCATGTATAGTAGTTAGTATCTGCTAATTCCAAATTACCAATTTATCCTTCCTCACCCCCTTTCCCCTCTGGTAACCATAAGTTTGTTTTCTATTAGACCTTTTATTCTAATGGGCCAGCCATAGACTCCTCTTTAATAATGACTGGAAATTGGCAGGTCTCCTTTCAAGTTTTCTTGGACAAGTTTACGCCTTCATGCCTTCTTCCCCACCCACCCCGTGCTTTTACGGTATGGCGAAGTCCACTGGCTCTTGCTTCGTCCCTCCCTTTGTAAGCACTGGGTGGTCTGGAGCCAAAATCTTGGTCAGCGTAGTACCTGCTTCTTTATAGAGGGTCTTCCCATCCTTCCCTTGAGCTACTCCCATCCCCCACTGTGTATACCTGAAGCTGGACCCTTTTCTCCATGCTGCCTCATTTGTGCTTTGGAGCATGTAAACCGTTTACCAGATGACTCAATAGGAGGCAGCACTCAATGCTATCCGATAGATTTAGAATTAAGAGGGGTCCGAGTTACAGCAAGAGAGACTCCGCCAGCCTGGCTGAACGCTGAAGGTTTGCCGTGCAGTGAGCTGGAGGCTGCCGAAGAAGGCTCGCTGATACCACGAAACCTCTCTGGACGATTACTTTGCTAATTCACAAACCTTCTAGTGCAACTGGAGGCAGTGCCAACTCCAAGCCTGTAGTAGTGGCCTCGGGGGTGTGGATCTCTGATGAGGACCTTCCAAATGCTAAGTGACAACCAGCCCTGAGGTGTGGATTCTTGATTAGGATAAACCACCAACCGTTAGCCCACTGCCCCTCAGGTGTACGTGTGACCTAGGTATGTATTTATACAGGTTTTAGTATTTTAAATCTGTTAGGTTCTGTTGTGTGGTTTGCTGTGTGTGACTTCGCCTTTACTTCTAGTTCCCTCCCCATCAAGCCATCGGGGACCACCGCTGCTTTAGGACCATGTGTTAATCGTTCTTAAAAAATTGTAAATCCCAATGTAAACTATTTTTATTTCCTGATATTGTATAATACACACAGTATTTATTTTGTAATTGGTCAAATAATCAAACGTAAAGTGTACTTCTGTGCATGCTAATCATTTTTAAGTTTTTAAAAAAAATTGTAAAAAACACATAGCATAAAATATACCCTCTTAAATTTGAAGTGTACAGTACAGTATTGTTAACTGTGTGTACCTCGCCGTAGGTCTTAGGTTTTTCATTTTCCTTGAGTGAACATGCAACTCCCCACTTCCCCCTCCCCCAACTCCTGGCAACCACCATTCTACTTTCTGTTTTTGTAAGTTTAATTATTCCACGTACATCAGATAAGTGGGCTTACACAGTGTTTGTCCTCCTGTGACTGGCTCATTTGACTTACCGTGAGGTCCTCAAGCTTCTTCCGTGCCGTAGCATGCGAAAGGATTTCCTCCTGTTTTGAAAGCTGTGGATTTTCCATTGCAAGTATACGTCACATTTCTCTGCTGATGGGCGTTTAGGCTGTGTCTGTCTCTCGGCTACTGTGAATAATGCTGCAGTGAAGATGGGGTGCATATATTCTGATTTCAGGGGTTTTTTTTGAATATATACCCAGAAAAGGGATTCCTGGATCATATTGCGGTTCTAGTTGTAATTTTTTGAGAAACCCCCATTCTGTCTTGCGTAGCAGCCGCACCGTTTTACATTCCCACCAACAGATCAGAAGGGTGTTTTCTCCCACCCCACAGACTGCCTTTTCGTGCTCCCAGCTGTTTCCTTTGCAGTGCTGAAGATTTTTAATTTGATGTAGTTTTGTTTTGTCCAGAAACTAAGTTTCTTAATCTCAATTCTATCAGCAACTGTTCATATGAGGTTCAGAAGTGCTAACTGCAGGTCAAATTCACGGAGGAACCCATGCTCCAAACTGAAGCCCCTTTTGCTTTAGGAAGGGCCTCTGCACACCCTCCTTGGCTTCTCACGTGGACTCTGAGGGCGGCAGATGTAAGACGCACTGTGCAGCTGCGGTGCAGGCCACGACCAGCCACAGTCAGGCCCCTCCGTGATGGCAGGGCTGGGAACTTGACCTCAGGCTCTGTTGGGAAATTTCTGCTGGGTCCTGGCATTGCCATTTACTAGCTCTGTGTCCTCGACCAAATGTTGTAACCCCTCAGACCTCAATTTTCTGATCTAAAATATGGTGCAATGGTAGCATCTTCTTGATAAGGATGTTGGAGGATTGAACGTGAAAGTACTCGTATAGCTCTTAACAGCACCCAGCAGCAGCAGTAAACTTAATAAATGTCCAGCATTATCTTAATTCTGATCAATGAGAGTGAGGGCAGAAGCTGGGGTTCTGCGTGTGGCCAGATGTGCTTTCCCCTCTTGCCGAGGGGACAAACTTGCCTAATGCAAGAGTCAGATGGTGCCCACCGGGGACTGCTGACCCAGCCTCTCCACAGGAGGGCCTGGGAATCAGTCATTTTAGCCAGTGCCCTGCACAGAGATAGAACACTCCTGTGTTTCCCGTTACTCTTGCCCTCTTACTGAGCTTCACTTTTGATGTCACATTTCCACACATCCAGTAGTTCTCCAACCCCAGCCTGGTGTCCTCCAATTTAACTCTGACACTGTCTACCTGGAGAGGGCATCAGATCCCACCAGTTAAGGGCTCAGTCCCTTCAGAAGCCAGTTGCAAGTCCCAGGTTGTCACCTGTACTTCTGACCCACTGGCTGTAAATTGGAGGTTCCCATGATTCCCTCCTTGGGTTTGATCACTTGCTAGAACAGCTCACACAGCTCAAGGAATATGTTTATCAATTTATTATATAATAAAGGATGTGATAAAGGATACAGGTGAACAGCCAGATGAAGAGGTACATAGGGTGAGATGTGGGAGGGTCCCAAGAGCAGGAGATTTTGTCCCCATGCAGTTGGAATGTGTTTCACTTTCCCAGCACTTGGATGTGTTCACTAACCCAGAAGCTCTCTGAATGCCTTGCTCTGAGGATTTTTATTGAGGCTTCATTATGTAGACATGATTGATCATTAACTCAACTTCTAGCCCTTCTCCCCTTCCCGGGGCCTGGGGTGGGACCAAAAGTCCCACGCTCCTAATCTTGGCTGGGTCTTTCTGGTAACCAGCTCCCATCCTGAAGCCATCCAAGGAGCCCACCAAGAGTCACCTCTTTAGAACAAAAGGCCCTCCTATCACCCAGGAAAGTCCCAGGAACTCGGTGTCAGGAAATAGGGGCAGAGACCAATATATATATTTTTTCTACTATTTCACAAGCCCCAAGTGGTGCTTAGGATTAAACAAGTTTTAGAAGTGCAGTCCTCTCTATGTTTGCTGCTGCCCAAAGCTCTCGCCTCTTATGTCATCATGGTCACCTCCTGGGGCCAAGCGGGGGTCAGGAGCCAAGAAGATTTTTTTGGCCTTCCCTGGCTCATCAGTGACTCTCCTGGGACCCCCTTTCTTGAAATTCAGGGGTTTGTTTTGGCTTTAATTTTTTTAATGTGAATTTTGTCACTTCTCCCTCATGACTGGTCCTTTTAAATTCTCGGTACTTGACCTATTTTTAACCAGCCAGAATGTCATCCGGAAAAGTGATGTGCACATTTTCTCCCATCACGATGCTCGCCAAAAAGGTCACATATTCCCGTCTCGGCTCCTCTCCTTCAGCACTTTGTCTCTGCTTCCAGGCTGAACCTAAATCACAGGTTCGACCTTTCAAGCCATGGTGCGCAGAAGAGAGACTGTGGCTTGAGTGTGTGTTTTCCACTTATTTGATGAGGAAGTCGCTCAAACAAGCCCGAGGTAATCCCACGAGGCCGCGAGGGTCCCTTGGCTTGGCTTTGCAGGCATATCCCTGTGTCATGAAAGACAGTACATGTGCTTTGACAAAACTGGACCTTGATTAAGCTCTGCTGCTTATCAGTTGCTAGTTTGGTGTCTTCCACTTCTAATCTTTCCCCCCCCTGGAAGAGGGTTCAGCGTTTTTCCTGGCGTGAAAGTCAAGCACGCTGATCGATGGCAGGCCGGTCCTTCCGTTCAGTGAGCGCTTAAGCAGCACTGACGCCCTCTCCCACCCAGTCTCCCAGCCCAGGTCTGGATCGGTCCAAGCCCATCCCTCCCGTGGCTGCTCCCAGAGTTAACTTTCTAAAAGACAACTCTGACCCTGTCAGTCTCGTGCTTACCGCCTCTCTCTGCTCATCGAGGATGAAGGCCCTGCTTCTTAGCCTGATGTGCACCGTCTCCTCCATCATTCCTCTCTACTCTCAGCCTCGCCTGTTCTGTTCTGGTAACACAGGCTGCTTCCCACTTGCACGTATGCTGTCTCATTTTTTTACCGCTCACCTCTGGTGGCCACATGAAGGGATGGGGACTGAGGACCTGTCTGCTGGTGAGGACGGGTGTGCCTCCTCTGTCTGAGCACGTGGACCGCCGGGCTGCCTGCCAGAGCCTGGGCGTGGCTGCACCCACAGGGAGCAGAGTGCTGGGTCCTCTGTAAGCATGGCAGGGTTGCTCTGGGGGTTGCTGCCTTCCTGCTCCGTCTACTAGGCTTTCTCAGTTTGACACCCCTGCCTTCATCCCCTGAGATGAGGAGTGGGTCCCTGGGATTAAGATGTTCTAGCTCGCACACCCCTCCCTGCCACCCCCCAGGGGAGGAGCCCTATCAGACCACTTAGTCGTGACCAGGAGGTCATCACGGGATCATGCCCTGCAGGCACTGGGTGCTTATCTCTATGAAAAACCTCTCTTTTTACTTCTCAGCTGGCTTCCAAAACTTTGTATCCTGCATTTTGACTAACGTCAATTGATCCTTATTTTCTATCTCAAATGACCTTGAGTCTTCACACATAATTCTTCCTCATTCATAAGAGCAAACTTTCTATCGTACTTTCTTCTGAACTAGAAATTAGGTTGTGATGTGTGTGTTTGTGTGTGCCTGGAGGAGAGGGTTTCTAGAGAGTGGAGATTTTCTCCAGAATCTCTTTCCCCCTGGAGCCTGGAAGGCCTTCTCATCTGGACGTTTCCCAGTGGATACACCGTGGGTACCGCGTGTCAGGGAAGGGATGAGACGCAAAGACGAATGTAACACAATTCCTCTTCTCGGCTCACGGTCCGTGTGGATCTAAAATAGATAACCACACAATTAGAATCCTGAATTAAGTACTATGAGGTTCCAGAGGACGTGGAACTCGTCCATTTGGGGATACAGAGTAGGGTTCAGAGAAGCCAACAGGGAGAGGACTGCATGGGGCCAACTTTTGACTGAAGGGGAGAATTTTTTCAGATGTTGGGCAAGTGCAGGCGGAGCTAACACACCCAGGTGCCAGTTCTGCGTGAATGGATGCTGCCATTTCTGTTTAACTAGGGAGAAACTGATAGAAACTGACGTTAAAGAACCGGCAGCTCACCGGGAGACCCTGGGTCCTCCAGGTCTGGGAGGGTGAGTCACACAGGACAGCTTCCAAAATCCCTGATGTGCCTCTTGGGTGTGCTTTGGTGCCTCCATCTTTTCCAGGTGACGGGTACCTTTGAGACTCTGACAAAAGCTGTATGTCCTCTCCCCAGAAAACATCTCACATATGCACATAGGTTCTGTTAAACAACAACAATTCAGCAGGGTAGATTTGGGGCTCAAATTGGCTTTATTCGTGACTCGGACATCACCTCTTCTGGCAAACAGAAGGGAGCTCAGCTGAGCATAGAAAAGGAGAGGTTTCTAAAGGCAGAAGGGGGCGGAAAAAGGGAATCACTAGCAAAGAATGTGTTGTTTCAGGCAAGGGTGTCTTCCTAAAGGAAGCAAAAGGGCCTACTGGGCAGACTACCTCAGTGCTGACGAGGTAATCCCAGGTTGGTCTGGTACCTCTTGTTTCTTTTTTAACTATACAATATTTAGATTTTAGTTTTTAGGAGTTTCCTGATGCCTGGAAGCCCTTTATCCCAGTTAAGAAGCCCTGCCTTAGGGGCTCAGCGGGTCTCCAGGAGTAGGAGTGTTGCCCCCCCCCCCATAGAATTATGGATTCTGTCTTGACAGGAACCTTAGAAGAATATAAACTAATTGCTTGGATGGTATTTTTAAAAAGCAGATTGCTTAAATGATATTTAAGACCTTTTATGCTAACCTGACATGTGTTCTTTATGCCTATTCTTGAAAGCTTCCAGAGTTAGGAATTTGGTTTTTTTTGAAGCAGCTCTTTCTGTCTTGAAGCCCTAGCTGTTCAATTCTTCTTCAGACTAAACCAAAATTGGTTTCTTGATTTTCATCCCTGGCCCTGTTCAGCATGACCTTGAACAAGAGCAGATGACCTATCTTTTGACTGGCTCTGCTAACCTCCCCGACCCTCCATGAGTTTAAAGTCTTTTATTTTGAGGTTTGAGTCCTGAGGTCCCTGGGAAATCATTATTCAGTGTGGAAATCTCTACACACACATTTCCCAGTGTCTTCTGAGAACTGTCTTGAGAAAATCAGTAAGTTTCTGCTGAGTGAAGGAATCACCCCAGGGTTAGATAAACTGGAGAAGTGCTGTATTGATCTCCTCTGCTAGGAGAGTGACAACACACATTAGCTTATTAAAAGCCCTGAAAAGTCCTGCAGCAAAGACTTTTCCATGGCTCACTTACTCTGAGAAGCAAGTTCTTGCTGACACTGGATTGAGAACTGCTGCTCTGTAAGAGCGATTTCTAAGGTGCATAGGGAATGAGTCTTTATTTTTTATTCTCATTTTTTATTAAAGTGTAGTCAATTTGCAGTGTTTCAGGTGTACAACAAGCGATTCAGTTATACATATACATACATACATATATATTTTTTCAGTTTCTTTTCCATTATGGCTCATTAAAAGATATGGAACATAATTCCCTGTGCTATATGGTAGGTCCTTGTTTATTTATTTTATATATAGTAATGTATAATCCCAAACTCTAATCTATCCCTCCCCTGCTTCCCGCCTGGTAACCACAGTTTGTTTGTCACAGTTTGCTATGTCTGTGAGTCTATTTCTGGCTTATAAATAATTTTTTTTTAGATTCCACATATAAGCAAGATCATATATTTGTTTTTCTCTGACTTATGGGAATGAATCTTTTAAGGGAGCTAATTATCACCCAATTAATTTTCCTTTTTTTTCCTCTCCACAGCCTCTTGATTTTGAAACAGTACACGTCCACAACATTGTGTTCCAAGCAGAAAATCCTGAGCCTCTGGTGCCAGGTGTACAGTACAACGCCAGCTCTGCTGCCACATTCAGGCTAATAGTGACAGATGTGGATGAAGCTCCACAATTTTTGCAACAAGTATTCCAAGCAAAAGTCAGTGAAAATGTGGCCAGAGGCACTAAAGTGGGCAACGTGACTGCCAAGGATCCGGAAGGTCTGGACATAAGGTAGAGGACAGCAGGGCGGGACAGGCCAGGCTGTGCGCTGGGACCACGGCCAGGGGGGAGGAGGAAGGGCTGGGAGGGGCTGAGAAGCTGGCTTGACTCCAGGACTCTTCCCTAAGGGAGCAGCCAGCATCTGAAGCCACGTCCCAGTGCGCCTGGTGAACTGGCCATGGTTCCAGCAGGTGCCAGTGCCCTGGGGGGCATCAATGAGTACCTGGACTCAATCAAGTAGGAAGCAGGGCAGGTTCCACTCCAGCCCACCTACTGCCGCTCCCAGCTGAGGGCTGGTGAGTTCAGGAGGGGGAGTCCAGAGACTGGGCTGTCCAAAGCCAGGCCCCGTGTCTGGACCAGTGATGGGGGCCAGGGACTGGGGAAGGGCCCCAGCCCCGAAGGCAGACTGGAGTTCTAGACAGAAGAATAAGGCAAAATCCGGTGGGGCAGACGGGGCCGCCTGGCAGGGCGGAGGGAGTGTTCTCGATGGAGGGCGCATAGGTTGCTCGGCGCTGCAAGGAGCAGGTCCAGGGCGACAAGACTCACTCCAGAGCTCACCACTGGAGTGGCAAGTACGCAGGCTGAGGTAGTTGAGCAAATGTAAATCTTTCCATCCTAGAAATTCTCAACCATTTTTTGGGTGCAATAGAACTCACCCAGATTTGCCTGAAAAATGCACAGTGATAATTAATCTTCCCAAGATAGGCATGCATGTGTAGGTATCGCTACCTGTATCTGTATCTATAACCTTTTTTTAAATTAAAATTTTTGTTTTGGTGGGGGAGGTAATTAAATTTATCCATTTATTTATTACTTTCGGTGGAGGTACCGGGGATTGAACCCAAAACCTCGTGCATGCTAGGCATGCACTCTACCACCGAGTAATACCCTCCCCCCTGTATCTGTAATCTTTTCAAGATCACATAGTTAATAAGCACACAGCTAGGGCTTGAACTCAGATCCTTTGCTTCTATTGCAGAACATGGGCACTCCTGTCCATGGCATGACAGATATTTCAGCGTGACTTAAAACCCACATGTGGTTATGAATGACCAATCCTTTAGGGTCTCTGAACATTTGATGGGAGTCTTGCCTCCCACTGAGCAATCAATTAGGCACTTGGAATCGGTCCCAAGACCTTTTTCTGATTGTCTGTCGGAGTAAAGTTCCCACCTGCTGTTTTCCTCCCCAGGCACTTGTCAGCTTCCACAAAGACAAACATGAGAGAGGGAAGAACAGTTGGGCTACACTGTGTGGTTAGCGTAAAGACACGTCAGAGTCACAGATTATGATGGGGCACAAAGTGTTACTAATTTTACAGCCATCTACTGCTTAACAGATGCTTCTGTCTCCCTCATGAGAATGTAATTAAAAAATCATTAGTCAAAGACAAGTGAATATAAATTTGAGTTTATGAGGGGGCAAAACAAAGGCATTTAAGAACATTTCTCCAGGACAAGATATAATGGATGTACTATTAAGTTAAAATCAGGAAGATGAGGAAAAAGACTGAGAAGGGGGGTGTCCTGTAAGAGACAAATAAAAAAAGTACTTCATGAATGAGGAATAATCAATAATTCAGATGCTAGTAGTAAGTCAGTTAAGAACTAAGGATGACTCCAAAGTTTTTGGCAGGAGCAATTTAATTCTTCTCTTTCTTCCAGCTCCACAAACTTAGAATCTGTTGACACCCAATGGATCTTAATACAATCTATCAGCAAATATTGGAGATTCTTTCATTGAAATATATCCAGAAACTACCTGCTTCTCATCACTTCTGCAGTGGTCCAGGCCACCATTATCATCTCCTCCACCCCACCCTGAGTCCATACACTGCAATCAGAATGTGGGTCTTTAAAAAGTAAATCAGATCATATGACTCCTCTGCGAACCCTCCAAAGGGTTTCCATCTCACTCAGAAACCCCAAGAACATAGGAATTTTTAATTCATCACCTATACACACAGCCTAACACGGTGCTTGGCATATAGAATATTCTAACACTGGGAAAAAATTAATTTGAACTAACACATAATTTTTCAGTCATTCTCCTGGACATGTAGGTTGTTTTGTCTTTTTATTATAGAACATGTTTTAAATGTATGCATAACATTCTTTTTTAAACTTCTATTATTGTTTTTTTATTTGGAGAAAATTTCCAGAGGTGGGATTCTTTGATCTAAAAATGTAGACATCCTTATGGCTGTGATGTGTTGTTTCCAAAAGGCTGTAGCAATTGATTTCCCTGTGGTTCTAGTCTCGTCTATCTCAGATTCATCTTTCACACACCTACCAGTGAGTTCCACTGAAAACAGACGAGGTCACCTTCCTGCTTAACACCATTCCCTGGCTGTGCATTGCTTCCCACAGTCCAGCTCTTTCCAATCTCTCTGGCTTCATCTGTTGCCATCCCCTGTGTCCAGTTTTTGTCCCACCACTGCTGGAATGCCTGACTCCCCCGCACCCTTGGCTTCTCTGCTTTAGATCATGCCATTCCTTCTGCTTAAAGCATCCTCCTTTTCCTTGCTTTAGTTAACATCTACTCTTTCAGAAAGACTTTTCTGGTTCCCATAAACTTATTTGGGATTCTACATGGCCCCTTCCACTGTATTCATCACATTTTATTGAAATTATCTGTCTCTGTGTCTGTCTTCTCCAGTGGCCTAAGAACCCCTTTTCGTAACCTCCTCTCTTGGCACACAGCCTAACGTGGCTAAGCTCCCAGTAGCTGTCTGTTGAATGAGGAATTCACTGCGACCTGAGCAGCCTCTGAATCCGCCCCTTCACACAACATTTCCACCAATGGGTGTTCGGGTTTTCTTAGAGGAGGCGGTTTGCTAATCTGGTCTAAAGATACTTCCAGGTTGTTTTAATTGAAATTCTTTGATTGCCAGAAAAGTTTAACCTTTTTCCATCAGAGTTTGTAACTCTACCTTTTCTATTAAAATAAATACACCAACCGCTTTGTAAGGATGAACAAATCCTCTTTTTGAAGGCAGCTGGTATACAAATAAAACATTAATAATATTAGGTCCTGCTCCTTTAAATATGTTGTAAATAATATGCAAGGGAGAGCTCTGATATAATAGCACAGTGGTGCATAAACTGTCTTCACACTTTCACGCACAGTAATGTGAGCTTTCTTTTGCTCTTTTCTCTTTATAAAAAGTTATTCACTGAGAGGCGACAAGAGGGGTTGGCTTAAAATCGACCCCATCACTGGTGAGATCTTCAGCGTGGCTCTGCTGGACAGGGAAGCTGAAAGTCTGTATCAGGTTCAAGTGGTGGCAACGGAAGTAGGTGAGTCAAAATAAATAAATGAATAAATAAAAGGTAACGTAAATTACTAGAGGATGTATGAATAGAAATGGGAGGGATGGTGAGGGGAGGAAGGCACAGACACAGAAACAATAAAAAGATCGTGGTTTCCAGGGGTTTGGGGAGAGGGAGGGAGGGAGGAATGAATAGATGGAGCACAAGGGACTTTTAGGGCAATGAAATGATTCTGTGTGATACTATAGTAGTGGCTGCATGTCATTATGCATTTGTCAAAGCCCATAGAATGTACAACAACAGGAGTGAACCCTAATGTGAACTATGGACTTTGGTTGATAATCATGTGCCTGTGTTTGTTCATCAGTTGTACCAAGTATGCCACACTGATGAGGGATGCTGAGGGCAGGGGAGTATGTATGTGTGGGTGGGGAGGGCTCTGTGCGCACTCTCTGTATTTTCTGCTCAATTCTGTTATGAACCTGAAACTGCTCTAAAAAAATAAAGCCTATTAATTTAAAAAAAACTATTAGGGGATGTATAAACAGAAATGGGAGGGAAGGTGAGGTGGGTGGGAAACTCCACTGGGTCAAACTGTCAGAATACCGTATAATAGAAGGACGAGAAGGGTACCAAAGTGGAGGCACGTACATGCTCACACCTTCCTGGTTTTGTTCGTGATGTGAACCCCGTGTCCCTCTGCAGGGCTCTTCCGGGCAGGGCTGCTCTGGGGGCTGAGTAGGCTTCTGGGCTGCTCTTCGTTCTGTCGTCTCCTGTAGGGGTTACAGCTTCTAGAAGGTTCCCGTGTCCCTGCTGAACTACCTCCTTTCCTCCACAGTGGCTGTGGGTCTCTCCTGGGGGCGGAGTCAAACCACTGCCCTGCTGACCCAGACCATCACTTGCTCCTCCAGCCTTAAGTTGTGCAGTGACTGAGATCTCGTCCTTTTGAAACAGAAAATGTCTGATGCAATGTTGTCAACATTACACGCGCCTGAATCACCCAGGAGCCTGTTCAGTGCAGATCTGGGGAGTTCACCCTGCACATTCTGATTCAGTAGATTTGGGGGGCCCTGGGTATCTGTTTTGATGAAGTAGGGTGAACTTATGAAAGGAAGGACTTATTATGTAGATAAGCCAAGGATATTGGACCCGCCCCTATATAATCTCTAAAAATAAACTCAGGAATATTGTGCTTACCAGTGATAAGGCTTGAGATGAAAACATTGAGTTTCTTTGCATTTAAATAGAACTTTCTAACTTACAGCCAGGATTCTGTTGATCCTATGCTGGTCAGAGCCTCTAGTGTGACAGTAAATCTATCTGCCTCGCTGACCAAAAAGTGAGAACTGAACAAATTATGACTAAATACAGTTTAGACAAAAAAAAGAGAAAACTTTCAAAATGTGAATCGCAGCGTTGGGAACTGGACATTTCAATGGGTGGGAATCACAAAAAATGGTCTCTGTGTATGAAAAGATGAAGACAGACAGGGGTTGGGGAGGGTATAGCCCAGTGGTAGAGTGCCTGCTTGGCACGCACGAGGTCCTGGGTTCATTCCCTAGTGCCTCCGTTAAAGGGGGGAAAAAAGATGAAGAAAAACAAAAGCACTGCAGTCAAGTCAAAGCCATGAGGGTAGAAATGCCGGCATGTTGTGTCGAATTTGGAGCAGCCGTGTGTGAGCGGATGGGGCGGGTCAGGCACCGGCTCTCTCCATTGCTTTTAGTGAAGTACCTCCACTGTCACACTCTGTACATTCCACTCACTCTTGATTTAGAAGCTCCCGACTGAATCAGCAGGAAGTTTCTGGCCGAGCCTTTGTGCTGTGCGTTCCGCGACAACGTGCCATGGAGTCAGCGCTGTGCTTTGGATGTGTCGTGATAGCCTCTCACATTTTAGCAGTTTCGTCAGTCAAAACCAGGGTTCAAGACCCTGCTCTGTTTGCAGCTGCTGGCCCTGAAAGGATGCACGTAGACGAAATGACTTCTAGAGCACATGGGCGCTTCCTCCCACTTTGGTTAAGTGTAGCCAGAGACATAGAAGACATTGGACAAGAAAAGCAGGCAAATAGGCTTTACTGGAGCTGACGCAGGTCAGAGTCAGAAATTGTAGAAGCAGCGTCTGTGATGACATCAGGGCGGATGAGAACAGTTGGTGTTCACATTGTGCTGACAGCCCCGTTCTAAGCACTTGCCTTTCCTACATCCGTGTGGGGCTGGTACTCTTACTGACCATATCTGTTGGAGAAACCAAGGCACTGAGAAGTTAAGTCGCACAGCTAAGAGTCCTAATTTTTCACCATTACACCGCAGCAAATAACGTTTGTGCTTTTCTTTACCATTTTCTAAGAATGCTACTCGTCGCATCTTCATAAAGCCACATGTTTTATAGCTAAAAAAATGAGGCTTAGAAAACTTAACGAACATGCGTAAGTCAGTGTTGAGGAGCAGTTTAAAGCTGTGGACTCGAGAGTCAGACCTCCTGTGTCGGAAGCCTCTCTAACACTGTGTGACCTTGGGCAAGTCACACAACTTCTCTGAGCCTCAGGCTTCTCACCTGTAAATATACATCAGAGTTATTTTGAAGTGATATATGTAACATATTAGCCCATTTTTCTTAGTGATTATTGTTATCAAGACTTTTAAACCAGAAAATGAAACTAGATCTGAATTGTAGGTTTTTTTTTTTAAAGAAAAGGAAATATCCTTTTTTATTAAAAGGAGAATGAGAGAGCTGATATCATGTTTCAATGACTCAATTCCTCAGGTGGGTCCTCCTTGAGCTCCACCGCACAGTTTCACCTGACGCTGACGGATGTGAACGACAGCCCCCCGCGGCTGGTCAAGGAGTACACAGGCTTGTTCTTCTGCCATCCCCTCAAAGCGCCCGGGAGTCTCATTTTTGAGGCCACAGATGATGATAAGCAGTCATTTCTGGGTCCACGCTTTACATTTGCCCTTGGCAGTGAAAGCTTACAAAGTGACTGGGAAGTTTCCGGAATCAATGGTGAGTTGTCGAAAGTACATGAAGAAAAACACTGATGGGTGATGAAATGGGTTTTTATCTGCCTTGGTGTGCGGGCAGCCCTCAGCACAGTGCTTTCTTCCATGCTCCAGGAAGGAAGTTCATGCTGCGGAAACTTGCACAGGGAAGCTCTCAAAAGGGCTGAAAGCCCCCGGGTTTGGAAGAGGGAAAGATTGTCAACACACAGCAAGCATCCCACCTTAGTGCAGATGAAGAGTTGGACAATCAGAGCAGCATTTGCAAAATTTCCAATGGCAGCTGAGAACCTGGTTTCATGATGATTTTTAAAAACAGCTTTATTGAAATATAATTGATAACGGTTAACAGCACATATTTAAAGCAGACAATTTCATAAAAATTGATATATGTACACACCATTGGAGCCATCAGCACAATCAGGAACATCCCACCACCCTCTAAGGTGTATCCATGTGCTGTTACAGGCCTTAATTTTTCACCCCACCCCCAAGGAACCACTGATCTGCTTCCTGTCACTATAGACTAATATGCATTTTCAGGAATTTTATCTAAATAATATAATGCAGTGTGTACTCTTTTTTGTCTGGCTCATTTCACTTAGTATACTAATTTGGGGATTTCACCGTGTTTTTGCCTACGTTAACACTTCACTCCTTTTTATTGCAGAGTGGAATTCCATTGTATGGCTATCTCACGATTTGTTATCCATTCACTTATTGAGTATTACTCAGGGTGCTTCCAGTTTTTGCTATTTCAAATAAACCTTCTGTGCACATTTGTGAACAAGTGTCTTGTAGGAGTGTATGCTTTCATTTTTCTTGGTTAAATACCTAGAAGTGTAATGGCTGGTCATACGGTAGCCGTACAGTGAAAAAATTTTTTTTCATTTTTCATTTTTATTAGAATTGTTAGTTTGATTGCACATATGCAATATATTGCATGTAAATACATATACACAATAGACTGCCATATTTTTAAAGTTTACATATATGTACTGTTCATTGTTTCTAAGAACGTTTAGAGCTTTAGCTTTTTGAACTTGCCTAGTTATCAAAGGAATAAAGCCAACCACAAAATAAGAATTAATTCAAAAAGATACATACACCCTGCTATTAACAGCAACATTACTTATAACTGCCAAGATATGGAAGCATCCTAAGTGCACATCAATAGATGAATGGATAAAGAAGATGCGGCTTATATATGTAATGGAATACAACTCACCCTTAAGAAGGATATTTTGCCATTTGTGGCCCTTCATTCACTTTTTTTTTTCACTTCAAGAGCCAGAATTTTATAACTGGCATAAACAGTTCCATTACATCAAAAACAACAAAGTACCTAGAAATAGACTTAACCAAGGAGATTACCTTGTATGGTCAAATTTTTAAGAAAATGTCAAATGGCTTCCCAAGCACCTGTGACAGTCTACATTCCCTCCAGTGTATGAGGGTTCTGGTTACTCAGCATCTTCCCAGGGCTCGCTGTGCTCAGTCTTCGCAGTTTTAGCCACTGTAGTGGGAGGGAAGTATTTCATTATGGTTTAATTTATATTTCTCTAACGACAAATGATGTTGAACATTTTTTCATGTGCTTATTTGCCATCCATGTATCTTCACGGGTGAACTGTCTGGTCAAATATTGTGCCCATTTAAAAAGTTTGGCTGTTTGGCTTCTGTGTTGAGTCATAAGCATCCTTTATACAGTCTAGACACAAGTTCTTTCTCAGATTCATGTTTACAAATATTTTCTCCCAGGCCAGTGGCTTACTTCTTCATTTTGTAACAGTATCTTTTGAAGAGTCAATTAACATTTTTTGATGACATCTGATTTATTGATTTTTTTTCTTCTGTAATTTCTGACTTTTGTGTGTATTAAGACATTTTTGCCAAACCCAAGGTCACTAAAATTTTCTTATTTTTTCCCCAGAGGTTATATAGCTTTAGCTTTTATATTTAGCTCTATGAACGATTTCAAGTTAATTTTTTGTACATGCACGGTAAAGGTCAGGGTTCATTGGTTTTAGTGTGGCTATCTAGTTGTTTAAACACTATTTATTGAAAATATCCTTTTCACATTGAATTATCTTGGCAGCTTTGTCAAAAATCAAGTCACCACACATATTTGGATCTATTACTGGACTTTCTTTTCTTTTCTTTTTTACTTTTTATTTATTTCTTTTCTTTTTTATTTTTTGAGGGGGAGGTAATTAGATATTTATTTATTTATTAAATGAAAGCACTGGGGATTGAACCCAGGACCTTGTGCATGCTAAGCATGTGCTCTACCACTGAGCCATACCTTTCCCCTCTCTGGATTTTCTTTTTTGTCTCACTGATCTCTTTGTCTGTCATTGTAGCAGTACTACAGTGTTTTGATCACTGCAGCTCTACAATATGACTTGAAGTCAGGTAGTGTAAATTTCCCCACTTTGTTCTTTTTCAAGATTTTTAAATCTATTCTAGGTCTTTTGCATTTCTATATAACTTTTAGAATTAAACCTGTCCATTTCTACCCAAAAAGCTTATGCAGAGTATGATTGAGATTGTGTGATTCTATAGCTGAATTTGTGGGAGAACTGACATCTTAATAAAATTGAGTTTTCTAACCCATGAATATGACATATGTCTCCACTTACTTAGGTCTTCCTTAATTTCTCTGAGCAATGTGTTTTAGTTCTTGTAGAATTTCCCCTAAGCATTTCATTTTTATGCTATTTCAAATATTTAAAAATTTTTAATTTTTAAGTAGTTGCAGGATATAGAACTGTAAGTGATGATTTTTGTGTGTTGATCTTGTATCCTGTAACTTTGGTGACCTCATAAGTTCTCTCTCCCTTTCTAACGTATTCATAGCTTTTCTACATAGACAATTATATTTGTTGTCTGTGAATAATAACAGTTTTATTTCCTTTCCAATCTGGATGGCTTTTATATCTTTAGCTTGCTTTATTACTGACTAAAGCCTTCAGGATAATGTTGAATAAAGGTAATGAGAGCAGAAACGCCTTGGCTTGTTCCTGATCTTAGAGAGTTCCTGATCTTAGAGAGAAGGCAGTTAGTCTTTCACCATTAAGTATAAATTAGCTGCAGGTTTTTTGTAGACAGCCTTTAACAGACTGAGTACTTTATCTTCTATCCCTAACTTGCTGAGAGGCTTTTTTGTTTTTTAAGTTAGGAAGAGATGCTAACAATTTCAAGTGCTTTTTCTGCATCTGTTGAGATGATTGTATGATTGGGGTTTTTTGGTGGTTTTGTTTTGTCTCTTAATTGGTGAAATATATATCTATTAACTTTTAGATCTTAAAATCAGTCTTCTCTTCCTGGGATAAAGCCTACTTTGTGGTGAAATATTGGCATTTTTATGTATGGTTGGATTTGATTTTCTAAAATTTTAAGAATATTTCTATCTATATTCATAAGGGATATTGGTGTGTATTTTTCTTTTCTCATCTTTGTCTGATTTTGGTATCAGAGTAGTTCTGGCCTCCTAGAATGAGTTTAGGAAGTGTTTTATCTCTCCAATTATCTGGGAGAGTTTGTGTGAAATTGTTTTTTATTTCTTCCTTAAGTTTTGATAGAATTCACCAGTGAAGCCATCTGAGCCAAAGTTTTCTTTGCAGGAAGCCCTGACTACAAATCCAATTGTTTTAACAGATACAGGGCTATTCAAATTACAGATTTCTTTTTGACTGAGTTTGTTAGTTTTGTCTTTCAAATAATTTGTCTACTTCATTTGATTTGTCTAAGTTATCGGCACAAAATTATTTGTAATATTATTTAATTATTCTCTTAATATCTGCAGAATATGTAGTGATACCACCTCAAATTTTGCCTCTTTTTTTTATTGTTGTTCTGATCAATCTGGCTAGAGGTTATTAATTTTGTCGATACATTCTCAAAGAACCAGCTTTTGGTTTCATTCATTTTTCTCTACTTTATTTTTTGTTTTGTATTTTATTGCTCAGGTCTTCATTATTTCCTTTTTCTTCTTATGTTGTACCTAATTTGTTCTTGTTTTATTTTTGTTAAGGTAGGAGCTGAGGCAATTGAGAACTTTTCCTTTGTTAGCATAGGCATTTGGTGCTATAAATTTATCTTGTTTAGTGTCATGTTAGCTGTATTTTGTAAAGTTTGATGTATTGTGTTTTCATTTTCATTCAGTTCTATGAGTGATTTAGAAATGTGCTATGGGGGTTTCCCACATCTTACTGGTTACTAGTTTCTAATTTAATTCCATAGTGACCAGAAAACATTTGACTGGAATCCCGTAAAATTTATTGAGACTCTTTTCTTTCAGTACTTTAAAGATCTCTCTCCACTGTGTTCTGGATTGTATTGTTTCTTCTTTGTTCCCTCGAAAGTAATGTGCCTTTTTTTTCCCCTCTGGATGCCTTTAAGATTTTCTTTTTCACCAGTTTTAAGCAATTTGATTATGTACCTTGGTGTAGTTTTGTTCTTTTTTCTTCTTGAGATTTGCCAATCTTCTGGGATCTGAGGATTTAGAGTTTTCATCAAATCTGGAAAAAAATGAGCAATTGTTATTTCAGATTTCTTTTTCTCTTTCTAATTCTCTGTGTTTGAGGGAACTTTATGAAATCAACTGTATTTAATTTTTTTATTGAAGTATAGTCAGCTACAATGTGTCAATTTCTGTGTACAGTGTGATGTTTCAATCATACATATACATACCTATAATTGTTTTCATATTCTTTTTCATTATAAATTACTATATTGAATAGAGTTCCCTGTGCTATGCAGAAGAAATTTGTTTTTTATCTATTTTTACATAGTAGTTAATACTTGCAAAGATAAAACTCCCAATTTACCCTTCCCACCCAGTTTCTCCCTGGAAACATACATTTGTTTACTAAGTTTGTGAGTCTGTTTCTATTTTGTAGATAAGTTCATTTGTGTCTTCTTTTTTTCTGTCTCTCTCTCTCTCTCTTTTTTTAGATTCCACATAGGAGTGGTGTCATATGGTATTTTTCTTTCTCTTTCTGGCTTACTTCACTTAGAGTAATGATCTCCAGATCCACCCATGTTGCTGCAAATGGCATTAGTTTATTCTTTTTTAGGGTTGAGTAGTATTCCATTGTATAAATATACCACAACTTCTTTATCTCATATTTAGTATTACTTTTTACAGAGAATTCATGAATTGAGAACTTGAAGGGTGCTTTAGCATCCTTTTTGACCTTATGGAGGGTACTTTTGGAGTGGAATTATTCTGGGTAGTTTAACTCATATCTAACTATTTTCCAGTCAGCTTTAGTATATAATGCAGAAATGAGCTTTATCCCTGCTCATCCAGGGGTCTGCAGTTGTGTTTTCTTGTCATTCACTTCCCCCTGTTCTGACAGGAACTCATGCCCACCTCTCCACCAAGCACACGAACTTTGAGGAAAGAGTTTACTACATCCCAATCCGCATCAGTGATAGTGGTCTGCCACCCTTGGAAGGGACTGTGTCTTTACCAGGTAGGCATTTTGCTGCAGGCAACTTGGGATCATGTCTGTCAGTATGAGTAGTTTGCGAGAATTCTTGTCTTTGATATGAAATTCTGCACCTGTTGACTTGAAAATTTATTTTACCAAATGTTGTTCTGTTTTTCAGTGACTTTCTGCAAGTGTGTGGAAGGAACGTGTTTCCAGCCAGCAGGTCACCTGCCCGGGATACCCACTGTGGGCCTGGCAGTTGGCATACTTCTTACTACCTTTTTGGTCATCGGTGAGTATAAATTCTCAGATATAAGGATTTCTGTCTTGGGTCTCAGACACATGAGTTCAAGGTCTGTCTTCCCCGGCTGGGCTGGCGGCTGCTCAGATGGCAACGCAGGCAGGAGTTAAGAATGCAGCTCAGCGGTAAACCGTGTCACACCTTCCCGGCTGGGAGACACTGCTTTAGTACCACCCTCGACCTATGACTGCCTTGTTGTTTAGTTTGGGAAATACAATAAAAGAGGCTTTAAAGCATAAATTGTTTTAGTTTATGCTTAGTTACCAAGCTTTCCGGCTGAAGGAGAAGGACATGCAGTGGCTGTGCCTCTGCTGTGTGCCTGACGGGGCCACAGGGGTGGACCTGCCCAGATCCGACACTCACAGAGCTTGCGGTCCGGCGGCCGTCACAGGGATGGGCAGGAGCTGGCCTTCGAGGGGGCGTGCCGGGGTGCCTGGGAAGCTGCACAACTTTCCCGTGCTTTCCACAGCTTGTGACTGTGGACCCTGATTCTTTATTAACTCAGAATAACTCCACTGTATCACAGGCCCCACTCTGCCTTGGCCCCTGGCCTGACTTGACAGCAGGCTTCCCTGTCTGCTCTTCCGTGAACAGCTCAGTGCCTACGATAGTCATTACCCTCTTTTGACTGGTGTCCTCACCACAAGTTAAGTATGAGGAGTAGATACTTCATCAATTCCTGCGCACCTGGGTGAAGGGGTCGGCACTATTTCACAGCCTTTCTCTTTTAAGAGGAAGGACTGGGATTATTCCAAGTATTCTTAACTGTTCTCTTGACATCTGGTCTTTTCTGCCGCCATCCAGTCCACCACATTGGGCTCTGATTCTCAGCTCTAAAAGGGATCTCATTTCCTTAGACCCTCCTGTCCGAACTCATTATTATGACATGAAGGGCCTGTGACATGACCATTGCCCATCCTAACATGTGTGTGGAGAGCATCACTTTTCTCCGAGGACCACAGCGTGGTGCACACCTTTTATACTTGTTGAGCTGACCCTGGAGGTCTTACTCACTCGCCAAGCTCCCCTCCACCTCTATGCCTTTCCTTACTCTCTTTGTCCTCCCATCTTGAAAGGATTTTTGAGTTTATATGCCAAATAGCAGTTTTCCAACATGACTATTTAATCTCATAATTTTACCCCAGGTTAAAGATTGGATGAGTTATGTGATCTAGAAATAGGAGTCATAGGATCTTACAGTTTCATGTCCTGACTTTTTTCAATAACATTGGGATTATTGCAAGATTCTTAATGGGCCTCTGAACATCCAGTCTTTCCTGCCATGATTCCTCCTGTAAACTTACTGCCAGGTTAATTTCCTTACAACAACTTCCTTTTCCATATAGGTCTCTGATTTATAGTTCACACATTCAGTGCTAAAATGCATAATGTAATTTTGTAGGAGGTCAGAGATGGGAGAAACCAGAGAAGGTAGGTAGTCTGCCTGAGCTGGAGCCAGGAGGAAGGTGCCAAAGAAAGTACGATGCTTGGTGTGGACGCATGGAAGTGGGCTTTAGGTTGGTGAACAGTTCCGAGAACGGGCTTCCGGTTGTTCTCGTTGGGCTGTTTCCTCTAGGGAAGGGGAGGCCTGGAGTCAGCATTGACTGAGTGTGTCCGCAGTTCAGGGGCTCAGCCAGGAGCCCGTGCATTTAGTCTTCGGAGCAGCACAGGCATTGGATGCTAAATTCCTTGCCAGAGACCCAGCCGTAGTGCCCAGCTTAGATAGGACCTGGGGCTTGATACACACTTACTGGCAAGGAATGTGGTAAGTTACTTATTCAAGAAAGCCCATGCCTAGAGTCCCTTATTCACCAGGACAACGAAACTTTGTTGAGCCACAAACAAAAATGAAATTATATGAGTCATTTTTTCCACCCAGGGTGCCGCTTTATAAATGAATGTAACAGTATGTACTATTTTCAGATTACATCTATTTGACTCTGAGTTTTCTCTTTTAGGTATAATTTTAGCAGTTGTGTTTATCCGGATAAAGAGGAATAAAGGCCAGAATAACGCTGGAAGTGCTCGGGCATCTGAAGTCAAACCCCTGAGAAGCTGAATGTGAAAAGGAATGTTTGAGTTTATGCATAAAGTGCTATTTCAGTAACACAACCATTTAATGCCATAATTTTACATTTTGTCCAACATGTGCACTCTAATTTTTTACAGATACGCCCTCCTGCCCTTTCATATTTTATTACCGCTAGATAGTTCGTATGCTGTAGACATGAGAGACATTTTCCATTTCCTCATAACACTTCCCCCCTCTGCAAAAGCCTTAATGATTTATCCCAAAACAAAAATGTGTGTGTGTTTTCCCTCTTACAGAAAGGCGGGCTGATGAAATTCTCTGTTCATTTTTGGTTCCTCAAGGAGGTTTATCAGTCATCTACCAGGGAACTTCCTGGATTCCATTTGTGGTTTTTCTGATTCCATCTTATGTCTCCTTCCTCCCCGTCTCCTTTGGCATTTCACTGATTTTAACATTTGTGGGAGAAAAGAACAAAGTGCAGGCTTGGGGAAAAATGAAAGCACAGACGTCCCTTAGTTTGCACAGAAGCTCTTGGGGGTTCCCAGCCGTCCTTAGCCCTGCGTGGCTTACGGTGCCTTCCGTTGGAGGAGCTGCCGCTTGGGAAGAGCGCGCGCCCAGCCCGGG